AGTACGCACAACATAGGCAAATGCCCACATCACCACAGGTGGGACTTCAGTATACAGCCAGCAATTAATTTCTCAACAGGTTTAACGTTTAAAAAAAATATTTATTAGGCCTATTCAAAGATTGGCACGGCGGCCTATTAATAGACAGTATGTTTGCTCACCATATTTAGTTGTTTAAAACACCCCACATCACGAGCATGGCCGGATTGTCCTCTATCTCTTTTTTTNACACACACACACACACACACCCCCCCACACACACACACAAACACACACACACACACACACGCACACACACACATGCAGCGCTGTCTGCTTATTTGCAATCATTGCAAATAAGCAGACAGCGCTGCATGTGTGTGTGTGCGTGTGTGTGTGTGTGTGTGTTTGTGTGTGTGTGTGGGGGGGTGTGTGTGTGTGTGTGTGTGTGTGTGTGTGTGTGTGTGTGTGTGTGTGTGTGTGTGTGCGCTTGTCTGTGTGTGAGAGAGACACCTTGCGTTTTGAAGACTGATAAATCCGGAATGGATGAACAAACTTTGCAGCCCAGTTTCCCAGCTTTGCAGTCTATCCACGGGTATGCCTCTTGTTTCCTCCGCCACATCTCCTCCGTCCATACCTCTAGGAAAGGTGAGCTTGAGCTAGCCAGGGGAACGTTGCTAGCGCAGCTAACGTTAACGTTAGTGCTAGCATTATCCACGTCTTTAGGCGGCTCTTCTGATGATGTAGTGCTACTAGTAGCAGTTCCTGTAGCTCCGGTGCTGCTAGCCTCTTTCTTCTTGTGAATTATATTCTTTTTAGAAAAGAAGTCAAGTAAAAAATGTTTGCCTGCCATTATAGGGCTTTTTCGTTAACGTTCTTGAGGGAAAGAGCTGCCGCAAAATCGGCGGGTCACCGACACACCCCCAGCTCGCCGCGGGGTCACGAGCCTGATGACGAATCATAATTCTTTAAGGAAATCATTTTTATTTTGTATTATAATTACTGTGAAATGTATTGTGTTTTTATCATTATTACAACAAATACACACTTGCAACTGATAACACTGGCAATGATTTTATATTTATTAGACTTTTAAAAAAAAGATCATGCTCCAAATAAGTGGGGGTACGGCGTACCCCCGCGTCCAACGCCCACTACACCACTGGTCACCGCACTCGCATATTACACACTATTGATAAACTGTCGCTTGTTTTAGAGGTGGTAACAGATAAAGATAAGCAGGATTTGGCTAGATGTAACAGAAGAAGAAGATATGTCTTGTGTTGTTGTTTTTGGCTGAATTTTGGTGGACCTTCTGTTTTTGTTTTACAGTGATGTTAAGCCATTAAGTCACTTCTGTCACAATCTGTCTGTGTTTTGTTTTGTCTTGTCTTTTTCTGTGTTTTCTCCTCCCTCCTCACCTGTCTCTTGTTTCTTTGGTTAGTCTTGTGTGTATTTAAGTTCTGTTTTTTTGTCTGTCTTTGTTAGTTCCTTGTGTGTCTTGACTGTGTTCACGGGGAAGAGTTCTGTTTTGTTTCCATTTGACCTTGGAATAAAGGTGTTTTTTCTGTGAAATCTGCATTTGGGTCCTGCCTGCTTCGCTCAACCCTTACAGAAGGAACTAACCAAGAATGGACCCAGCAGACAGCTTGTACGAGGTGACGTACAATTTAACATGCTTGAGGAATGACTTTCGATATGCCTCCAGTAGTGAAGAGAGGCAGTCAGTTATTTCTGCGGCACGCCAGGAGGTAACCTCAAGGCCCTGGTTGAGGGAGTTGCTACCCGAGTGGGTGGAGGACTTTTTTGGTAGCTTTGAGGTCAAACCTGTTTCCCGGCCTGCTAGNTCTTGTGTGTATTTAAGTTCTGTTTTTTGTGTCTGTCATTGTTGGTTCCTTGTTTGTCTTTGACTGTGTTCTCGGGTTAGTGTTCTGTTTGTTCCTCAAAACCTTGAAAGAAAGGTATTTTTTCAGTTTATTCTGCATTTGGGTCCTGCCTGCTTCACTCAACCGTAACAGAATGAACCAACAACAAATGGACCCAGCAGATGATCCATTTGAGGTAGAATTACAGAATTTTACCTTTTTTTTGGCTTGCTGCTTTGATTGGTGGAAGGGAGCGCCCAGTGTGCGACAGAAGAGCTCTGGTAGAGGCACACCGGTTGGCAACAGAGAAACCGTGTTTAGTTAAGTTCTTACCTGACTGGATTTTGGACTTCCTTTCGACATGTGATTTGCCTGCAAGCCCCAGGCATGCTAGCCCCCTGCCTCCCAATTCCCAACCTGACACCATACGTCTCGGTGTGTTCCGTCTGGAGTCAACCCCTGCTTCTTCCCCATTTCCTGCTCCTGTCCAGGAGCCGTTCTCGGGTACTCGTCTGGCTTTTGGAGGTCCACGGAGCCTCCAAAAGGCTCCTAAGAGAAGGAGTCGCAAGTCCAGGCCAGCAGCCCGAGCCCCAGAAGCCATGCTTTGGGCTCCAGTTCTGGCCCCAACAGCCATGGTTCCAGCATCAGTTCTGGCCCCAGCAGCCATGGTTCCGGCCCCAGTTCTGGCCCCAGCAGCCATGGTTCCAGCATCAGTTCTGGCCCCAGCAGCCATGGTTCCGGCCCCAGCAGCCATGGTTCCGGCTCCAGAACCGGCCCACAAAGCCATGGATCCGTGCACCAGTACTGGCCCACACAGCCATGCTTCCGTGCTCCATTACCTGGCTCACACAGCCAGGGTCCAGGCTTCTGTTCCGTACCCAGCAGCCATGGTCCCGACTCCAGTTTCGGCTCCAGTACTAGCTCTCCGGCCGATGCCAGCTCCCCGTGTCCTGTCGGCGTACTGGCCGACGCCAGCTACCCGTGTCCTGTCAACGTACCGACCGCCTCAAGTCCTCTCAAGTCCCCTCTCGAGTCCCTTCTCGAGTCCCCTCTCGAGTCCCCTTTCGAGTCACTTGTTGAGTCCCCTCTCGAGTCACCTCTCGAGTTCCCTCTCGAGTCACCTCTCAAGTTCCTTCTCAGGTCCCCTCTTGAGTCTCCTCTCGAGTCACCTCTCAAGTCTCCTCTCAAGTTCCCTCTGGAGTCCTCTTTCAAGTCATCTCTCGAGTTCCCTCTCAAGTCACCTCTCAAGTCTCCTCTCGAGTTCCCTCTCAAGTCCCCTTTCAAGTCACCTCTCGAGTCCCCTCTCAAGTCCCGACCCAATGTCCTGGTCCGTTGGAGGTTCTGCCGACTACTCTTCTGCCGGGGGTCCTGCCAACCCTATGTCCTGTGCCGTTGGGGGTTCCGCTGGGGGTCCAGCCAACTCTATGTCCTGTCCCGTTGGGGGTCCCGCCGACTACTCTTCTGCCGGGGGTCCTGCCAACCCTATGTCCTGTGCCGTTGGAGGCCCCGCCAACTACTCTTCTGCCGGGGGTCCTGCCAACCCTATGTCCTGTGCCGTTGGAGGCCCCGCCGACTACTCTTCTGCCGGGGATCCTGCCAACCCTATGTCCTGTGCCGTTGGAGGCCCCGCTGACTACTGTTCTGCTGGGGGTCCTGCCAACACCTGTTTTGTTGGGGGTCCAGCCGACACCTGCTCCGCCGGATTTCATGCCAACACCATATCCTATCCTGTTGAGGGTCCCGCTGACACGTGCTCCACCGGGTTTCCTGCCAACACCATGTCCGGTCCTGTTTGGGGTCCCACTGACACCAGCCCATGTTCCGTCCAGGGTCCCGTACACGCCTGACCCGCCAAGGGTTCCACCAGCTCCTGTCCGTCCTTGTGCCCGGCCCCCTGAGTTCCCCAGCCGCGGCCCTCGCCCTCGGGCCCGGCCCCCTGACTCGTCCGCCCGAGTTCCCCCTCTCGGCTTCTGCTGTTCCCCCGGGCCGTCCGCCCGAGTCCCCTTTTTCGGCTTCTGCTTTGCCCCGGGATGTCCATCTGAGTCCCTCCTCCGGTCCCCCTCCACCCATCCTGTTGGACGTCTGGGATCGGTCCATTGAGAGGGGGGGGGGTGGTAGGAATGTCACGATCTGTTTGTGTTTTGTTTTGTCTTTTTTTGTATTTGTCTTTGGTTTCCTGTTTTATTTTTGAAAAGTGTTCACCCCCTGTCTTGCCTTTTGCTTTCTGTCTGTGTTCCCTCCTGTCTGATTACCCGATTGTGTTCACCTGGTGCCCCTGTGTTTTCTCCTCCCTCCTCACCTGTCTCTTGTTTCTTTGATTATTCTTGTGTGTATTTAAGTTCTGGTTTTTCTGTCTGTCTTTGTTAGTTCCTTGTGTGTCTTGACTGTGTTCACGGGGAATAGCTCTGTTTGGTTTATTTGATCTTGGAATAAAGGTGTTTTTCTGTGAAATCTGCCTTTGGGTCCTGCCTGCTTCGCTCAACCCTGACAAGTAATAATACACCACAGTAAGAAGAAGACCTGAAACATTTTTGTGATGGATATTCTGGACAATATTCACCCTTTTATACCCTAGAATGAGATATAGTGGAGATCTCCAAGCATCTGCTGTGTAAAGCAGACCTTAAACAGAAAACAAATTGTCTGTGGATCAACTAAAATTCCTATAGGGAAGCAATTCAAATGGTTTGCGATGATCTGCCTTTCATGGAAGGCCAGTCAGCGAGGAACCGTTAGGGAGCAAAGCAGGAATATCTACACATAAACAAGATCAAAGTATTCTGCACAGCTGCAGCAGACCAGCTCAGCTTTAGAGGAGAGAGCTCTTGGCCACATACTGAATGAATCTAATATTGCCACAGTAAATCCTACACAGAACCTTTCACCAGCATGTGCCTGAAGTCACATTTCTGAGGTAGCTCAATATCTTTGCTCGTATAGTTGAAAGACGGTGTGAAAAGCTCTTGGAAACGTATCTGATGCAACAGATAAGTGTGGACTCTGAAAGGATAGTCAGAGGCCATCACTGTTTTGATAAGGGTTTGAAAGGAAAAACAAATTCAGGCTGACTGAGCCTTTGAGAAAACAATAAGGGACAAAAAAAAAAGAACTGACAAGCATCACAAACTAATTTGTCAAGATATTTGACAATCTTGAACAAAAGCAAAGGCTTACTTAGTCATCCTACATTTAAAAATATGTAAAGATACAGTCAGCGCTATAGACGAAACAATCTCGGTTCCTGAAATCAGTTTTATTCAATGCACACCAGGAACATACCACAACACAAGATATGCTCACAATTATTTGCAGGCAGAAAAATCTTGTGACCTGCAAAATAATTCACATCAGAATGAAAAGAGACCCGCTGCAGACAAATGATTGATTAGAGTGACAAAGCAATAGTCAAATAAGTTAGGCCAGCACACAGTGATTAGTACAGATGGGCCAACGCACTGGAAGAACCCAACCAAATAGCAGCCTGTGCTTCCAGAAGAGGGAAGCTAAATGAGCTGAATAAATTAAATGGGTCACTTGGGTATAGAAAGGCCATTAACGTTGATTGGGGACTGTTTCTTTTGGCACAGAAATTCAAAGAGATTAAAGTGTCTAAAACAAATCAGGCAAACAGACAGACATGTGAAGCGAGTAAAAGTTGGTTTACTTCGCTTTGTGCTGCACCATAACCCATGATGGGACTTAAAGCACCCTTATGCATCTCCTGGTTTCCAAACAGCCCACATCGCTCTGAGGGGATTGGGTAAAGAAAGGGATCTAATAGACATGTTCTCTTTATGTTAAGAACACTCCTTAATGAGCAGAATGGGATTTGAAGCATCAGCATATCCAACCCAAGGTCATGGATTCCTATAATTGCCCAGCTAATGGAGTCACAGGCTACTCTCCGTGCTTCATACTTTGGCATGGGACCCATACAACCAATAGACCTTCTGTTCAGAATGCAATGGGGAAACAGTCCATGCTCTAGCGGAGCTATAAAGAGAGTAGACATAAGGTATTACATAAGGTCCCCCTCTTCACATCATAGTGAGACATGTGAGACATTGAGAGAGAACGACTGAGCAAAATTGGCTCCTAAAACCCCAAACCTAACTTCATTTTGACCTCCAGCACGATAAAGGAGTGCTGTGAGCAGGGCTGGACTGGCAACAAAGACAGAGGTGTGTTCATGACGGCAGGGTATGGTTGTTTGGGTAACTTAAATAAAGTCTCAATGTTAACTTGTCAACATACTGCACATTAATATTCAATGAAGTTTCATGTCTTAACTTTCAAGATATTTATTTTTTGTTCGGTTTAATATTGATTAAGCAGGGACAATTGATGACATTGTAACAGCCTTTTAAATGTAAATAATGCTTAAGGTCTGTCACGCTTTTGTCCTAAACACTCACTTATACCTCCTTATGGTTATGGTTATTGTTAAAGGACAATCAGCCCTGTAGTAATTGAGTTTATGTCGTGTTGGACATTTATTTTTCTGATGGCTGTCTGATTGTATTGCTGATTATGGGCTCCCTAATTAGAATCAGACCTTGTTCTTTTTATCAGGGTGGGTGTTTTTAAAAACATTTTTTAATTTCAAATCTTTATTTACCCAGGTGTATCCCATTGAGATCATTGATCTCTTTTTCAAGGGAGACCTGCTAATTTGTTTTTTGAATAGCGTTTTACTATTGTTTCTGCCAGTTGATATTACCTTTGATTGTGTGTGTGTGTGTGTGTGTGTGTGTGTGTGTGTGTGTGTGTGTGTGTGTGTGTGTGTGTGTCACGAGCTCATTTTGTGATTTGAGTTAATTTAAATGAAAGTCTTGTTAACGTTGCTTTGTTTTGTCAATCCTTTTTTCTCTCTGATTTAGATGGAAAATCATCTTAATCATAATAAAATGAGAAAACAAAGTCTCAAATATGATAGATTGAATGAAACCGGGTGAATTGAGATCACTGTTTTACATATAGAATAATCATAAAGCTTAAGGGACACATGTGACATAATGCTGAAATACAGTTGAAGCTGCAGGGGGGCATAAGGAAAACTCACTATATCATCCACCTTGACAAATGTATACATTTCTGTCAGCTTAGGGGTGAAAAATCCACAAGTGGAAGTCCTTCTTAGTTCTACAGATATGATGTACACCTGGAAAAGGATTTGTTGCACAGATTATGGCAAAAGAGGTTTGGTGCAACTTCTTCATTTTTGCTGAAAAGCTTAGAGTTTCCAGGAAATATGTTTATGCAAATGTAGGCCAAGTCGCTTCTCAAAGAAACTTTTAGGTGGCATTGCCAAAATATTACAGTCTTGTAGGAGAACTCGTGTCCACATTAGTCAATCCTCACCCTTGTGGTCTATTGTGTGGAAGTGATTGTTATGCCAAATCCTCTTCTTTAACTCCTGTCTTTGGCAATGACTAATACAGCGCATTCAAAGCATTATATAAAATTGTTCCAGTGTGCTTAAAAATAATCGCAGAATGTGATTCATGACACGCACATGAACTGTTGTGCAAAAAATGGTTTCTGAGTTAATGATGAAACCTTTGTTAAGTGCCCAAATGAATGCAGGATGCTTCCTAACTGTTTTATAATATAGGGACCTATAGTTGGTATAGATCTCTATATAGGGCTGTCAGACAGCTAACTTAAGCCTGCTGTCAGCTTTCTGATAAGTTATAGTACTCAAGAGTTATTTTTTAGTCTGCATCTCTTTTACTCTCTCTCTCTCCAGTGCTCAACACTATTTTCCCCTCAAAAGCTTTGATGTTTCTCTCTTCCACTCTTCCCTTATGTCTGTATTCTAATCCACTTAGTCTCCCTTTTCTGTCTCTCTTTCCTCCCTGGCCCTCCCTCTCTCTTCCCAATCCTTTCCTCCCTGTACAACTCAGGTGAAACTTCCCAAGTTTAGAAGCTGCTTTTCTCTGCTCCTGTATCCTATCATCTTTCCCTCCCATGCCAGGTGA